GACATTTTCTTCATTTTAAATTGTCTGTAGCCATAATTCAGTTATATAGCAGATTAAGGCTTTCTAAAATTGCAGTTGCTTAAATTAATAATTAATTGAAATAAAGACAATGCATTTTGCACTAAAAGAACATACTTTTAGCCACCAAAAACCCCAAACTGTGTCGACATTTTCAACAACAACAAAAAAATTTAAAATCCGATTTAAATTTTAAAAATCGATTTTTTTGATTTTTTAAAATATTTTTTTTTAAATCACCAACCCTGCAAACCGATAGAAATATTCCAAAATTAGGAAAAACAGGTCTTGTTTCACTCTGGGTGAAAATAGCCAACGGTGGCAAGTCTCTCCCGGGGTGAGGATAGCCACTTTCAAAAATCAATGGTAATGGCATAGCCCATGATGGCCCACCCATACATGGTAGGTAGCCAGTTGGACCTCCACCTTCGTGTTTAGTGTTGGGCCATTTACGTCAGCAAAATAATTGTTCAGTCGAAGATTTCTTGTCATTCCAATATTTAACTGAAAAGAAGTTCCTGGACAAATTTAACAGCACACATAGAAATAGAGGCTAACCTCTGACTCTGTGACTGTAGGCCTTGATTTGCCTTGAAGTTTTAGTTTTAGTTATTTCAATTTTTATTGAAGTGACTATTTCTCTGAACGCTCGGGAAAATAAACACATGAAGCTGCAGGGAACACCTAGCACACCTCTGTGATTGGCCCAAATATAGATCTAGATGACGTAGCCTATTTCAGCCAGCTATTTTTGTCATCTTCCGGGGCGTCCCTCGCCAGTTGACTAGATCTCACCGTGGTTAGGCTTAGTGCAGGATGGGCTACGTCAAGTTAGATCTAGATCTAGGTTTCATGGCCGACTGCTTGGGCTGTGTGTTCGCTTACTTTGTGTGTTCGCGCAGACGTGTGTGTGTGCGCACGCGAGTGTGTGTACAACTTTGAGGAGAAGGTAAATTTATGGAACGAGAATTGCTGAGGTTGTTTTAAAAAAATAACATAAATTAATAGGGCCTACCAAAAAAATAAAAACAAATGCAGCGAGATCTAGTTTCTGTGGAGAGAAACCCGAGAGTCTTGGAGGAAACCCCGGAAGACGACGAAAATAGATGGTGGAAATACGTCATCTATGTTTGGGCCAATCTCAGAGGTGTGCTAGGTGCTCGCTGCAGCTTCATCTAAAATAAACTTTACCTCTGTTTCTCTGAACGGTTTTGGTTCTCAAGATATTTTGGTTATTTTCATCTTTCATTCTGCCATTCTGCGAGGACTGGGAAGAAGCATTTTTTTGCATCGAATTCAATTTTTAGAGCTAAATTGTGGTTTTGAACAACGTTCCCGGACTATACTTATTTGAAAATGCCTTCAAAAGGTACAGCGAGAAAACAAGACTGCTTGACTTTAGCAGTAACCTATTTTGCATTTTTAGTGCTTGACTTTAGCAGTAACCTATTTTGCATTTTTAGTGCTTGACTTTAGCAGTAACCTATTTTGCATTTTTAGTCATCCATAAAGCAAAAACTAAAGCACCAAAAAAAATCACTCCACGCCCTCCCCAGTTCACACCTTACACACACACTCACACACACTCACACACACTCACACACACACACACTCACACACACTCACACACACACACACACACACACACACACACACACACAGGCGCGGCATGCACACTGGCCACTCCATTGGCAAATTCAAAAAATCTTGAGAACGAAAACAGTTTGGAGAAATAAAGTTCTAGTTTATTTTCCCGAGCGTTTGGAGAAATAGAGCTGGCCTATTTTTATTGCACACAATATAATTTTGTATGCAGTTTCTCAAACAGTTATGAATGCAGGAATAAAACTCTGGACAAAGCTTTATATTTATTCTATAAGGAAACAGTTCTTTGGACACTTGAATTGAAGCAAGCATTAAGAAAGTAGTTGTGTTGAGATGTGGGGGGAAAAAAAATCAGCTCCATCTAGCCGTTAAAATTATTTTCAGAGCCAGTGATTTAAAGACTTAAATAATTCATTGTGATAGTGCAAGCAACAGTTAATGATATAGTAGTGAAATAAATTCTTTTCAACTCACTTCATATATAACTCCCTGCAGTATGTGAAGTTTCTAGTGACATGTTTTTTCATCAAATTCGTAAAGTCCGGACACTATTTACCATGTATTTTTTTTTCCTTTTTTCATTTATCCGTATACAGATTTACAACATCTATGTAAATGGAGTGTTCCATTGTAAAGCCAGGTACAAGCAGATGCGACTGTTTCACGATGAGGTTAGTAAAAGTAAAGCAAGTATTAATTAGTATCACTGTAATGATAACATAGTATAGTCAAGAGGATATAGAGTAGATTCATGATGATGTTAGTAGTTGCTGGTATTTTGTGTCACAGTAAAACTGTTTGCTACCTCAGCATTATTCAATGACAACTTAAGTCCTATCTTCTCAATACCGAGTTTTGAGAAATTTGTTGTCAAATTTTTTAGTTTCACAGTAAGTCAAGTTTTTTCAAACGAAATTCTTTTAATATCTTGATAAAGATTCCGAATATTCTTACTATTTTGATAGAGCAGATAGAGCGTTTGCTCTCTGACCTCATGGTTTTTGTAACTCTAAACTGCTGAAAATGTCAGATAGAACTTTGTAATTCTGAAGTAGTGAGTTGTCAATTAATAACTTTAATTTAAGTCTGGTGAGAGCAGGTAAATATTTTGCTGACATTAAAATTTAGAATCAGCAACTGTGGATCTTTTTCAAAAAGTACAGGTTTGTAGACTCAGTCTTTGACAAAGTTGTATGATACAGGCGAACCTGCCCTGACACAAGGAGGGATGTAAGAAGTGGCCGTTTGTACAGCTGATTGTCTTGGACAGGTGGCTTTTAGGGCACGTTCGCCCAAGACCTGTTTATGACAACCACTTTTTTCCTTGGCACTGTCTCGGACATCGTGGTGAAATGAGTGAAATCGAGAGCGAGTTAAAAAAAATTAGATTGAAGAAATTGTAATTTTTTGCCCTTTGGTCAACTTTTGTTGATTTTGGGGTTTTGGGGTTTTTTGTTAAAGCTCAACAGCTTTTATGTCCTTTGAAAAAAACATTTCTGTGTAGACTATTTTACTGCAAAATGCTGATCATAGACACAAAAATTTATATGTGCAATATCTGAGGATACTCAAACTTTGGAGGCTATTAAATTTTGGCGCCCATTTTCTTTCTAATTACACCTCTGACAGCAGACAAATCTCACCTCCTGCAATCACAAATATCTCCATTTCTTTTTTAAAGATTGTCGGGTATTTTTTTTAACCCAAAAATAAGACAAATGAACTAGCTTTAAGACGATACCATGCCAATAACTCTATTTTCTGAAAAACTGATGAGCGCCTGATTCCACAGCGTTGTGACACAAATGTTTTTCTCGGCAGCTGAAGAAAGAATTTGGAGCTCTGGCTTTGCCGGAGTTTCCGAAGAAGAAACTGTTGGCATTGTCAGCCGTGGAGATCGAGCAGAGACGAGTGATGTTGGAGAGGTACATTCAACTAGGTCAGTAGAAGACACGAAAGTGTATTTGATTTGTGGGTGAAAATTTGCACATCTAATGGTTCAAGATGTTACTCTAATTCTGTAAAATTAAGTTTTAAAATCAAACTTTAGGCTCTGGTGTCTGAAAAATCTTGAATTTTGGCACTTTGACCATACTGCAAAACCATCTCTTGATATGCAAGATCTAATGCCATTTCTGAAATTGGTGACTGCAAATCTGTTCAGAACAAATTTTAAAGCCACAAAATGTGTGTTCTATTTTTGTAAACCATTTATCTTTTTTTTTCAGTGAGTCAAGACCCGCAGATGGGAAATAGCAGTGTCTTCAATACGTTCCTTTTGACAGCTCAGCAGGTATGTATTTCTCTATCTTTTCCGTATGTCGATGGCACAGAACACAAATAGGTGCTTCATTTGTCGCCCATCAACTTGAAATTAGGCTCTTTTAAAAATGATTAAATTGAAGAAACCGTCATTTTCCAGATCATTCAGCAATTTATAGTGAAATTATTGAAAACATTGATCCAAGGCCAAAAAAAATGTGAATTTGCTGTTTCTAAAGGACACTCATGCCTTGTAAGTTACCTGAACTTTGCGGCCATTTTTTTGCTAATTTTACCTTTGACTCCAGGTGACTCCCACCTCTCTAATCACGAATATCTGGATTTCTGTTCAAGATAGATGGGTATTTTTTCATCTAAAGCATGATAAAAGAACAGGCTTTTAGCTGAAATCAGTAATTCAGAAAACTTGAAAATTGACAATAGCCTGAAAACATTGTATCACAACTCAATTGTAAGGCATGCCGACTAAATTAATCATTTTTCACAATCTTTAATCTACGAATTGAAATATTGGCCAAAAATCGACACAGAGGTCAGATTTTTAGATTTTCAACTGATGCCATTCTCTTCAAGTTTAACATGTCCTACACACACACTTGCTAAAAAATTGTACAAACTCAACCAATTTATTTGACAAATTTATTTCCTTAGCAGGACTGTCCATTATTATGAATTTGGCAGAATCATTAAGATTTTTATTCAATTTTACGAAAATACGATTGTAATACCCCTGATTCCCGTTTTTTATTTTATTTTTGCAACCCCAACCCACTGCCAATCTTCCTGTTGTATAAAGGGCGAAAAATATTTTAAAACTACCAGACCCGGACTCCGGACAGTCTCTGTTACTATGTCATGTGCAGCTGTCTTAATTAAACAGTATTAACACCCTCCTGGCATTGAGCCCTTGAAGTCGCTCAGTACCTCTTTTCCCTAATAATAAATAATAGATAGCATTTGTATAGCGCATATCCCCGCTCATCAGCAGGCTCTATGCGCTTTACACTATATTATTACCCCAGCAGACCATAGAACACTCCGAAACATTCTCAGCTTCCCGGGAAGCATACATTTTCCCTTAGAAAAACATTACTTTAGAAGTGCCAAAGCCAATAGTAAGGCAAACTTTAGATTGACAAGGTGTTAGAAAATCCCTGCCCTTTTGCATCATCATATACTTCTGTTTACTTTACATTTATACATTTTTTGGACTACAACCCCTTTTCTTTCTTACTGTATCGCTAACAACAACAACCCCTTTTCTTGACACCCGATCAAAGAAAATTTTCCGTGGCCATACTACGAATTTTTCAGCCAGTTTACTCATTTTCTTCCTGTTCATTAATGAAACATAATGCGCTGGTAGGTGGACGGGTCATCCATAGACACGGTTAAAATCTGAGAAGTTCCCTCAAATTGTCTTCAGGCCTAACATTGGTTTTTGTTCTCCCTCCACCAGGAGTCCCAGATAGAGGAGGCGGAGCGGGTGAGCCTGGACACATTCCTCATGAACGGCCACAAGATCACCATCAGCCTTATGTCCACAGACCAGACGGAGGACGTGCTGGAGGTAAATTAGATAAGATACGATAAGATACGATATGATGAGATAAGATAAGGTACGATAAGATGAGATATGATATGATGAGACAAGATTAAACTTTATTATCCCAGAGGGTAATTTTTCTTGGCTGTACATAAAAATTAAAATTATATATTACTCTCATTAAAATTCAATATATATGAAAAGAGAAGTAAAGCTGACACTATTCAGATGTCACATCAAATGCCACATTGCAGTGACAGTAGTCATAAATAATTATATACAATGCAGAATTATCATGGGTCAGCTCAAATGGTGAATCAAAGGACTGAAAATGCACATTGTAAGACCATTTAACGGGGGCACACACACGCGCGCGCAGGCACACACACACACACACACACACACACACACACACACAGACATACACACACACACACACACACACACACACACACACAAACACACAGACATACACACACACACACACACACACACACACAAACACACACATACACAAACACACACACACACACACACACACATATATAAACACACACACACACATATATATAAACACACACACATGCACACACACACTCATATATACACACATATGCACACACACACACACATTCTCATGAACGAAATTATTTTTTTTTAATTTCCCTTTTTTGGTCTCTCTCTGTCTGCCTTACTTTTATCCCTGCACTGAAACTTACCAAAAGACCATTATTGTGCTGATGTACTTTTTTTTACTCGTACAAACTCTCCTCCCCCACCCCTTCCCCCACCGCAAATCCGACAGGCTGTGGCCCAACAAATAGAAATTCCTGACGACTTCGTCCATTACTTTGGTCTTTTCCTGGTCAGAAAGGAGGAGGATGGAGACAATTCTAGTGAGTGTGTTGCTGCTGTTCTGATTGGATCTGTTAGACATACTTTGCTTCTTGTGTAACTTAACTTGTTTTATCTCTGCAACACCTTCAGATGACATTTTCTGGTGTAAATTAACCTGTTTTTGTTGTACAAACTCTTCAAGCGATAGTTTCTCTTGTTTAACTAAATTTATTTTTGTTGCAAAATGCTTTTATGTGAAATTATCTTAAGTGACTACGTTTGGGATTTTTTTGTTGTATAATACCTTTATTTGAAATGTTATTTTGTAACAAAGCCTGTTTTAGTATAATTTTTGTTTGTTGTATGACGCCTTCAAGTTGCATTTGCTTATGTGACAAAATTTGTTTTAGTTGTTCAATTCCTTTACGGGATTTTTTTTTTTCTAAGAAAAAATTATTTTAATTGTACAATGTCTTTGGCCTTTACGTTAAATTTTTTGTATGTAACTAAATCTGTTTTAGTTGAACGACGCCTTCAAGTCATTTATTCTTTTGAAAGTGATTCTTTACTTAATTGTATAACGCCTTCGAGTGACATTTTTTTTGTTAAACTGAATCTCTTTTAGTTGTGTGACACCTGTAACTAACATTTTCTTGTGTATCTGAATCTCTTTCAGTTGTGCGGCGGCTTCAAGAGTTTGAGTCTCCATTCCTTTCCCTCAAAGCTGCTTCCAAGGCGGGTGTCCATAGGATTGTACTGAGAAAAGGGTACGTATGACTGTCTGTCTGTCTCTCTGTCTGTCTGTCTGTCTGTCTGTCTGTCTGTCTGTCTCTCTCTCTCTCTCTCTCTCTCTCTCTCGCCTAATAGATATCTCTCTCTCCCTTCCCCAGCTACTGGGATGCGTCCTATGACGACGACCTCCTGGACAACAAGGTCACCATGAACCTGCTCTATGTGCAAGCAAACAGCGACCTGGACAGGCAGTGGGTCTTGGCTACTCGCGAACAGCTGGCTCACCTAGGGAACCTACGCAAGAAGGGCTCTAAGAGAGAGGTGTGTGTGTGTGTTAGGTGTGTGTGTGTGTGTGTGTGTGTGTGTGTGTGTGTGTGTGTGTGTGTGTGTGTTGGCTACTAGCAAACAGCTGGCTCATTTGGGAAATCTACGCAAGAAGGGCTCTAAGAGAGAGGTGTGTGTGTGTGTGTTTGTTTGTGTGTGTATGTGTGTGTGTTTGTGTGTGTGTGTGTGTGTGTGTGTGTGTGTGTGTGTGTTGGCTACTAGCAAACAGCTGGTTCATCTGGGAATCTACGCAAGAAGGGCTCCAAGAGAGAGTTGTGTGTGTGTTTGTGTATAAAATATGCAAGTTTGTGTGTATCATGTCATGTTCTCATGTATTCTCATTTCCATTCCCAAAGGGGGGGATACTAACATGTTCTTATGCTCTGTAGAATGGTATGTAAATGGACTGATTTATCAATGTCATGTTCATACTGTGCCGAAACAACATAAGGGGGAACTGCTGCTTTTTCTTTCCTAATCCTTACTATCGTCATTTTTACCTCTACTTCTTTTGTATGTTTGTCACGCTCTTGTGACCCACTCTTTCTGGGGTGCCTTGATAGCCGAAGCAGACTATGTGCTGTTGAGGCTAGAAAGGTGAGCAGAGTAAGCCCGATCTCAATTTGGACTTCTCTGTTGACATCCTCCCCTTGGCGCTCATAGGACCTTTGCAGTTGGAAGCGCCATAAAACCTTACTAAAACGAAATTCTCATTTCCCACATCCTTCCACCAGTTCCTGTGACTTGCCCGTATGTTGAAGTACTACGGTGTATGTGCAATTCAAGCCCTGCCTGAATTGTGTAAACATGTGTGCCTGTGTGTGTCTGCATATGTGTTTGTGAATATGTGTGTGTTTCATTTCCTTTCTTTTATTCCCATTTCCTCTGTCCTTCCACCAGTTTCTGCGACTCGCCCATACGTTGTAGTGCTACGGTGTACGTGCTGTTCAAGCCATCCATGACTGACTTGTGTATATACAATATATATGTCACAACGTGATGGAATCAGGCGTTCGTCAATTTCTTGGCATATGGGGTTATTGGTATCATCTTAAAGCCTGTTCATTTGCCTTCTTTTTTGGGAAAAAAATATCTATCTCGAATAAAAGTCGAGATACCCGTTATTTGTAATTGAAGGAGGTGTGGGTCACCTGATTTCAGAGGTAAAATTACTGAGAAAATGGCTGCCAAAGTTATACAACTTAAATACCTTGAGAGCCTTTAAAAACTGAAAGATTTACATATTTTGTTCCTTTTATCAACATTTTCCAGTAAAGCTCACATGGAAACATATTTTATATGGATATAAAAGGTGTGAAGCGCTCACAAAAAAATTCAATAAAAATTGCTAAACTGGAGGAAAATGCCTTTTTCTCCAGTTTCAGTATTTTGACGAGAGCCTGATTTCACCACGATGCTTCACATAAGTGCATGTGTGTATGTCTGTGCATGTGTATGCATGTATGTCCTTTCTTTTACCCCTGTTCCACGTGTCCTCTCACCAGTTTCTGCGACTGGCCCGTACGTTGAAATACTACGGGTACATGCAGTTCAAGCCGTGCGTGACCGACTATCCCCAGGCAGGGACCAGGGTCATTGTGGCCTCCGGCCAGAGGGAGCTCAACTTCCGGGTGCAGGTGGACGTGAGTAGACCATCGCGGGACTTGTTTGTGTGGTCAAGGGAGTCCCGAGTTGTGTCGCTTTGTGTCTGCTAGTGTCTTTGTGTTGTGTGTCCGTGTCATGTTTATGTTCGTGTCCTTATGTCTTTTTGTGCTATGTGCCTGTTTATGTCTTTTGTTTGGGGTAGGACTGTTGTTTGTGTCTTGTGTCTGTTTATGTCAAGTGTCTGTTTGGGTCGTGTTTCCGTTTGTGTCCTTGTGTCTGTTTGTGTCATGTCTTTGTTTCTGTCTTCTGTTTGTGGCAGGACTTGTTTGCGTCTTGTGTCTGTGTCCTTGTGTCTGTTTATGTCATGTTCTTTTTGTAGCAGACTTGTTTTTGTGTCTTGTGTCCGTTGTGTCATATAGCTTGTTGAGGGTATAGACCTTGCTGTTGAGCAGGGGTGTGCACTATACAAGTAGATCTAGCCCAGCCTGCACACTTCAGTTGTGTATGGGGAGACTGCGGATGTGTGAAGGCATGCAGGCCATCCGCCATTGTTGTCCGGTGTGTCTGCGCACTTCCTTTTCAACAGAGATTACACGCTACACAACAACGTGCCAGCATTCCGCAAAGTTAGCATGTGGTGGGTTGGCGGGTGCTCTGGTGTGGTTTGCTTCTTCTTTCCTATCAAACATCTATCGTCCTTATCTCCCCTTCTTCTTTTTTATGTTTGTTACTATGTTGTAACTCCTCTAATCTGACCTTATGCAGTTGCGAGCGGAAAATATGACCGTATTCAGTTGCGAGTGCCGTAAAACCTCTGCTAAAACTGAAGTTAGCATAAGTTGAAATCGTAGTAAAGAGCTGACCATACAAATGAGCAAAAGAAGTGGAAAAGCTTCTTGAACGTGGAAAAACAGCTGATCCTAATAAAGGTGGATTAAATATCACTGTCAAGAACCCAATTCTGTGAATCTAAGTGACTATGAACCCAACACGCATATTTGCATGGCATAGGAGAAATAATGTGTGTAAAATTTTGAACTACTTGTCCAACTTTGTTCATCTCGCTGGATATTGCTCAAAATTCATGCATAACTATATTGACACATAACTCAAAAAGATATTCACATCCCAGCGAGTTCGCTATATGTATGTTGAATTGTATGTTCAAGATTGTCAGTGTTTCAGCATCACTGCATCCGACAGTTTCAAACCATTTTTAGTGTGGTGCACATTTTTAAAAACGACAGCCAAAGTCACATGATAGCATCGATACAAATGTACCGTTTGCTATACTTTGTTCACTTTTGATTATTTTCAAAAAATTTGATTCCAATTTAGTTATTTTTGCAAGTGATGTTGAGGTTTATGTGACGTACCCAATTTTACCATGTCCTTGGCTCTCAGGGGACGTAGATGAAAGAGGTTTTTGTCTAAACAAGCTATGTGGATGGAAAGTGTTAAGTTGGAGTTGAGCTGTATATTATTGTATTGTTTTGTTTGCAGGTGGAAGATCATGGTTTGAAAGATGCAGGTGTGAGTTTTGCTCTTGACATTTATTTCTTTTTCTCGGCAGGGCTTGATCAAGGAAGGCAGTTTTAAGATCACAAGGATGAGGTGCTGGAGAATCACCACTGTAGTAAGAAGTCAATCTGTGGTTATAGGTAGTTGGCGGGTGCTCTAGTGTTGTTTGTTCCTTTTTTTTCCTATCAAACGTCTATCTATATCTCCCCTCCTCTTTTGTGTTTGTTATTTTCTTGTAACGTCGATAATCTTAGAAGTGGGTGGTTGGTAAGTGCCTTGGTGTGCTTTGCTACTCCTTACCCATCAAATATCTGTCGTCCTTATCTCTCCTTCTTTTATTAGTAACCCTCTATTTTTCGGCACTTATATGACCTTAATGTATTTCTAGTTCGATAAAACTCTTACTAAAACAAAAATCTTTGGTCGTATGTGTGAGACTGGTTACCTACAGTTAAAAAAATTTTTTTTTTAATGGAAAGGGACTATGCTGCGAAAACTGGGTCAAGCCAAAAGTTGATTTCTCCCAGTCCATACACAGTTACTATACAAGCATCATATTGACCTTTTGGTATTATTTTTACAACAATTCCTATAGTTTTTGTGAACTATTTTTTGCAATTCCAACATTTTTTTGGTAATCCCACACTTTTTTTAACTGGTTTTTGTTAGTAAAAGAATTATTTCCAGTGCTTGTACAAGCTTTAACAGTTGTTAGAGGGCAAATTATCCTCCTTTCACCCAGGTGGGAATGGGTACCCAGCTATAGACAGCTAAAGGTCTTGTCAGTTTGTTATAGTATTCGAGAGCTTAATCTTCTACTTGCACTGTGTGCTTCCAGTGAAGCTGAGAATGTTTTTGACTGTTCTAGGGTCTGCAGGGGTAATTATAGTGTATAGTAATCATATAGATTGTAAATCGCATAGAGCATGCTGTTGAGCAAGGATATGCGCTATTCAAATGTTATTCATTATGATTATTATGAATATTAATAAGCGCTCATATGACCTTATGCAGTTGCGAGCGCCGTAAAACCCTTTACTATAATAATAATGAATATTAATACTATTATTATTTTCCAGTACCCGAACGCTGACGAGAATTCTCCCAAATCTTCCAGCCAAGAATCCCAGCTGGAGTTGTCCTTTGAGTATTTGATGTCTCGGGACCACCTCCAGTGGATTTCCATCATCAGTGATCAGGTAAAACTAACTGATGTCTGGTGTAGTGGTTAGGCTCTTTGCTGTAGCACACAGGAGACCTGAGTTTGATTCTGGACTGGGGAGAACTTTAATTGGGTAACTAAGTCTTTCTGTTTGGATTTTGTATCCCTATCAGCTCATGTTGACCCAGGCAGGCAATGTGGAAACCTTCGCGAAAGTTATCTACTTTGTACTGATGGGGGGGATGCCTACTTTTTTTTAAAATGTAAAGATATTTTGTCATCAGTACTCACATTGAGTTGGAACTACAGAAGAAAATCTAGGTATAGCAAGAACAACTCGCTTTGGGAACTTGAACAGAGGGTGGCGGGAAGAGACTCCGATAATGTAGATACATAATGTATCTTTTCTTGCTTCATAAAATATCATGTCTCTGTGTCTGCTAGTGTCTTTATTTTTACCAATATACATATGTAAGGCACCGTGGTGAAAGCTGGTGTTTTGTCAAAATAATGAAATTGAAGAAACAAGTTTTTTTCCACAAGTTTGGTAATTTTTTCGAAATTTTGGTTTTTGGCTCAACACTTTTTATCGTAATAAAAACATATTTCCATGTGAATTTGATTGAAACGCGTTGATTAAAGATAAGATAAGATAAATCTTTATTGTCCAGATCCTTGCACATTGGTTTGGTGTTTCACCACATGCGTGCACACATACACACACACTCACACACACACACACACACACACACACGCACACACACACTCACACACACACACGCACACACACTCAAACATGCGCACACATGCTGACTTACAATCGCGTGCATAATATAAATGAGCAGCAATATAAACAATAATAATCTTAAGCTACATACATACTCAATGTTATTCTGATGCATGCTCTAAGGTCATATATGAATACAGTAGTCTCCGCCTAGGATCCCACGGCTTACGATCCCGGTTGCTTAACATCCCGCTGTTTTAAGAAAACAGAATTTTTACTATACAAAAGTCACCCTTAAGATCCCGCTCTGATTCACTCTGAAGGTCTACATTCAGCTAAGATCCCGCATTTCAGATCATAATTTGCGGAACAAAAACCCGGGCGGGACAGCCGATCAACCAAGAGTGAAAAGTTGAGATCAATAAACTGTCAGTCGCGTCGAAGATCAGCCACTATCGTGAATGTGATCACATACACGTTGTAAAACTCGATGAAGCGATACAATGTTTGCCCCAGACGGGATCACACCGGGGTGTGAACTGACCGACACGTTTGTTTTCCCCGAACTTCACACTCACACCTGAGCTCTCCCCCTAAACTTACATCACTCGCTGGGTGGGTAGGGCCTACACGTTCACTCCAGGCGGGATCATATTGAACTGTGAACTCTTCCCTGACCATTACAGAAGTTGTCTCTACTCCCGAATTTGCGAGACAGACTGATTTTAATTGGTGTGTTCACAACATAATGGTGTGTAACGACAAAGGCGGTTGGGCGGGGCGGGGGGGGGGGGGGGGGAAGGGGAAACTCGGTCAGAGATGGAAAGCTATACATTTTCGACAGGTAAGGGGGAGGGGCAACTGGATAAGCGTAGATCTTGAGACTCGTGATAGTATAATAAGTGAAACTGGCATGCCTCATCCCACTATGCACTGTGATTCATAAACCCACCGAGCAGTCACATCACTTCATTTTAGAGTTGAGGGAGACCATTTTACAGATTGTGAGCCTTAGCATGGGTCACCATAGATTCTTCCCTGGGTTCGTCGGTTAAGATCCCGGTTCACCTAAGATCCCGCATTTCCTTGCTCCCGAGCACCGGGATCTTAGGCGGAGACTACTGTACTTATAACAAGATGGTTAAGATGGAAGAATTTTTATGGATGATGGTAAAAATGACCTTCTGTATCTTTCAAGAGCACAAAAAAAAATTCCTATTGATGTCATGTTCTTCAGATTTAATATGCCTTTTATTATTTCATACTTATTAATTGTAAAAACTCCACTTGTATCTATGTATCTATTTCTTTAAGGCTTGAATCTGAGAAGTAACTCATTTTGTCAGTGATGCTGATATGTGTATTCTGTCCACAGGCAATGTTGATGAGCATGTGCCTGCAGAACATGGTCGACGAACTCATCATGAAGAAACAGGGGAAACGATTCAAGAAGGTAAGCCTGAACGAGAGAGAGAGAGAGAGAGAGAGAGAGAGAGAGCACATTCACTTGGAAAAGATGTTGTTCCAAAACAGATTATAGTAGAAACTGGCCATGATGGGCATCCATTGGTGAGGAGAAAAGTGGTCCGGACTGATGGGTGTCTTGGACGGTGTCATTATGTGATGTAAAAGAAATGCAGGGGGGCAGAAAGGTATTGTTTTTTCATATCTTTGTCTTGAACGCGTAGCCATTAATGCAATTTCAACCATATCTCATTCATAGAGGAAAGATGTTCCAAAATAGATTACATACATTTCCATTGTCATCCTGTCTTTTCAGCCTAAACCAGAGAGAGTTTTTGTGATACAAATCTTTTTCTGTTGGAAAGCTTTTTGTCAAAAATCGATTTGTTATGATACGTCTTTGATTTTAGTCTTATGAGCCTGTACAAAAGAGGTTTGAGGTACGCGACATTTTCAAGAGAAAGCTGTTCATACCAGATATAATATGTCTGTGTTGTTCTCCGTGATACAAAAATTTTCTGCTAGAGGAAGATATATTACACCCCCCGGGGCAGTGCCACTGACTGAAGTGTCTTTAAGCCATTCCCAAAGGGGGGACTTTCCTCGTTCATGCACAGTAGAATTGTAAATGGGCTGATTCTTCAATGTCACGCTCATAACTGTGCCTGATCTACAACAGGGAACTGCTGCTTTTTCTTTACTAATCCTAACTATTGTCATTTTTTCTCTACTTCTTTTGTATGTTTGTCACACTCTTGTGACCTGCTATTTCCAGGGTGCCTTAAAAGTCGAAACAGACTTTGTGCTGTGAGCAGAGGTGAGCAGAGTAAGCCTGATTCCCAGTAAAGACCTGAGTTTGATTCCTCAGTATCTTGCTCAGCCCGGCTTTCTCCAATGATCTAAATTGTGTCGGTGGGGAGGGTAAAAACACCTACATATTTTAATAAATATATTTATCCCCAGCCTCAAGACAGACTGAATGTGAAGAATGGAGGTCCCTTCAAACAGTTGTCTCGAGAACATTCCTATGGAGTAGAGGTAGGTCAAGGTCACTGTGCATATGTAGGCTCAGGTCGCTTTTTAAACGGAGGTCAAGGTTACTGTTTGCATACATGTCTAGTGTGGTTGTTTATTTGTAGGTCCGTGTAGTTGTTTGTATGTAGGTGGGTGTAATTACTTTATTTGTAGTTCTTCTTGTTTGTGTATTCGTAGTTCGATGTGGTTGTTTATTCATAGGTCAGTGTAGAGAAACAGGAGTCGGCATGCACTTTAAAAGGGTACAAAATAGTACCAAAGTACTGTGGGCTTTTGTGTCCTCTCTCGTAATTTAAATCAGAAAGTTTTGGGGGTTTTCTCCTTTTTTTTTTCATGTTGAAAAATTTTCAAGAAACCAGTTACCAGTTGCACATCAGTTACATGAGAAGAGTAAAACACCATGGATGCTTCAGTTGCATGTGGTTAGAGGTTAGAACTGTTGGGGGGTTTTTTGAGAAATTTTCAACGTACACCACATTTCTGTCTGTGTGGGTGGTTGGAGGGCATCACTGCTAAGTCTTAGATCTTTTCTTTCCCTCTGTTGTTTGTGTGTTTACCTTCTGCCTTTTCCGTTCATGAAATAACGTTTGTTAATGTCTTTAATGTGTCGATATAATTCTCTTTCCAAGTGCTGTGCCATTTTGAGTTAACAAAAAGTCAATGATGCTTCGAAGCGTGAGGTCTCAATTCATGCTGTTCGAATATCGTGTGTAAATGGATTTTTATTTATATGCATGTGTATATATGTCCATTTGCAACATTGGATGTTCAGTTTTCAGGGGTTGGGCAAAACGAGACTGAAATTCATTATTCTGTAGAAATCATACGCTATTTGATTTTGAATGGCTCTACTATGCTTCGAAAAATGGTGACTACCATAAAAATTGTAGATGTTGAATAGTTAAGTCAAATTGGCTCAGCTCTACTCTGTTCTCCCATAAACAAAAGAAGATGATTGTGTCATGTATTATGGCTGTTTCCCTGTGTCCCCCCCCCCCCCTCCTGTAGCCCCCCTCCCAGACCAGACACTATAGCAGCGACAGACAGGTGAAGTCCTCACACATTTCTCTAACACGCTAACACCAAACACTCACGCAACTTTGGCACTGGTTTCTGCCTTTTCATTTAATCACTTTTGCCTGTTTTGGGTCATGTTTTGTATTTGATTTCTATTATAGTACTCTCGTCTACATTTCCATTTCTAATTATAATAATGCCTGTTTTGGATTGTTGCTCTTTACGTAATTTGTATTTCAGTAATTAACCTTTTCATTCCAAATTTTGGTCTGTTTTTATCATTTTTTTAAAACCAAAACCATTCGTCTTTGTATTCTCACTGTTTTTTGGGGGTTTTTTGTTGTGCTGCTATTCTTTCATAATTGAAGCAGATGTTTTCTTTCAACTTCAATCTCAGGTGAATACTTTCCTGAGAGACTAAGAAAGAAGAAAAACAAGTAAAATAAATGTTGGGGAAGGTATAGCTGATATATGCAGTAAAGATATAGTATCTTTATATGTTAAGTAGATATCATTAGAGAACTTTGAAAAAAGGGGTTAACACTTTAAAGGGCTATTTTATGGCACAAAGTCAAAGTACTTTTTTTTAGTTTTCTGTTTTTTGCTCTCCGTTTTTTGGGGGGGTGGGGAGGGGGGGGGGTTGTTATTTAAGTTTGTTTTCTGTAATAACAAAATACTAGAGCATGTGAAAAATATAGAAACCAATCTTAAGTCCTGTGTAGTGACGAGACAGTTGTTGTGTTTTGTCTGTCATAGAATCCAGAGTCTCCAACTGGACGGAAAATCCATGTTCGAAAACTGGTAATACTTCACACCCCTATCACACACTTTTAAAGTCCTGGTATGCATGTAGACTGTGTACTCTGTCAGAATGCTTGCTTCCATTGGCTTAGATCTGAGTGCATTATGATGAGGTTCTTACACTGTGAGAATGCTTTCTTACATTAGTTGAGCTGTGCGTGCATTAATGAGGTTGTTATGATGTCAGAATGCTGCAGTTTTTCTGTATACAAAGCTTGAGTCAGATTTGATGGATGCAGTAAGAAATACCCAGTACTCTCTGCTAACGGGATTTATTTGATTCAGTCAGGCCAGCCGGATTTTTTCCTTCCCAGATGGGACAAAAGATAGGCTTGAAGGGCTAGTAGACTCCAGATGGCCACTGGAAAGGAAAAGTAAAAGTGAAGTAAAAGTATGGGACAAAAGCCTCCATATTGGCTCGGTATGACCATATTTCAGCTAAATTCAACTGACCTTCAAAATCAGATGCATTTTTTTTTTCCAAGGTGGTGAGTTGATTTGGCCTTATTGTGTCAAAATGGTAGCTTTTGCCTCTCCATGAAGGAAAAACCGGGCTGGCCCCGACTTAATCAAACTGATCAAATCTGCTGTGTATCCTGGATGTAGGGTAATATCAATGGCTGGACGCAAGACTCGAACAAATCCCAAATTGTAAAATGACGTGTGTCAGAGGCTTGCGTCCAGCCATCGTTATTTAAAATATCTGATGGGTGAATCGTGCTTAAATTGCCCAAATCCACCAAATTTGAATCAAGTGTTGTAAAGAGGAAATTCACCTTGAATGTCTGCTTACATCAGCTGTGGGTGCTGTAGAAGGTTCTTGTATTACATGTTGGAGGCATGCTGGGCCAGTTTAGCTGATTTTTGTTTATGCACTAGACTAGCTTCTGTAAGTCACATGGTCTTGGTCATTATAAAATTGCGCACATCGTTCTCTTTCTCACATTTCTAGTCTTCTCAAAACATTTTAAAAAATGACTTTTAAGCAGTTGTGTTATGACTATGTCTTTGAGAAGGAATGTTTTCTTTGTCATTATTTTTATCAAGCATGAGGTCACTAATAACAACAACTGGGAAAGAATGAATGCATTATGATGACAGGACACTCGAATTGAGATAAATAAAGGCCTTCAACATCTTACTCTGTATGGGAAAGTAGAAGAGAAAAGAGGGAGGAGTTGCATAGGGAATTTGAACAGATGAGTGATGGAAAAAGATCAGGAAAATATAAATTTTTGGGATAATGTATTCAAGCTCGGGATCAAAGGAATGGCGAAACATGATGCCTTTGTCTGTTTCTGATCTGTTTCTTGAAGGAGAGAAAGATTTATCTATTATACACAGTGTGCTGCTCGTGTTATTTCAGACAGGCCTTAGCTGTTAATCATGTCATTGGGCAGGGATATCAAATCTGTGAAATGATGAAATTTCAATAAGTCTTTTTTAGTTTGAAAATAAACATTGTATGGTTTATTGCTTTAAGAATATATACTTTGATTTGGGGGGGGGGGGGGGGAACTTGATGAGGTTTCTTAAGTTGTTTGCAAAAGTCTTTGAGTGCACTGACAATGTTTTGAGTTATCAGCAAAGAATGCTCTGGCTTTGTTTCATGTCTTCGTGTCAGTTGTCAACAAGTACCTTTGATCGCAGTTGTTTTTATATTGTGGCGTCGAAAAGAAACTTGAAAATGTAATCACCAAATCATTGTGTTAAAACTTCTCAATACCTACTCATGCAGCATAACAATTTAAAGCTAAATGAATTTTTCGTCTTTTGAAACATTAATAGCTCATCTATCTTCTATGTTAGAGGCACCCGAGATATGGTCTCTCAAAATCGACCTTAAAAAAATCAGGCTTGGAAAAATTGTGCGAAATCAAACAAACATAAAATTGTCTTCTCGCGTATATCAAGGAGCATCAATATTGATAGAATTGACATACATTGCGTATCCAATGAATGGAGAATTTATATATTTACATATACATTTTATTTTGATATTTTTTTCACGATAGTTTCAAACAAAACAGAAAACTGACCAATCACAAATTATGAAATGTGAAGCAGCGTGGTGGAATCAGGCTCTCGTCAATTTTGGAGCATGTAGAGTTATTGGTATCATCTTCAAGCTTGTTCACTTATCTTTATTTGGATGAAAAAGAATCCATTTATCTTGAATACAAGGCGAGATATTTGCGAATGAATGAGGTGGGGGTCACCTGTTTTCAGAGGTAAAATTAGTGAGAAAAAGGCCGCCAAAGATTAGTTATTTCTTTAGCTTAAGAGTCCGTGGTAACTGAAAATTTACAATTTTTGTGCCTTTAATGAACGTTTTTCAGAAAAATCCACACAGAAATGAGTTTTTTAATGGGCATGAAAGGTGTTGAGCCGAAAAACAAAAATTTGATAAAAATTCGCAAGCCTGCGGATAAATGCACGTTTCTTCACTCTGATTATTTTGACGAGAGCCTGATTCCACCACACTGCCTCACAAATACCATTCAAAACTTGGACTTAACATGACATGGGCTCATTATTGTTTTGCTTAGGAGCCATTGGTTTTGTGTACTGAACGAATCCTTTGGGTATCAACTCTGTTAAGTTTTGTACATAATTATGTGTCATTTCATCTCAAATGTCACAGAGAGTTGCAAACCAAGGGTCTGACTTGGGAGCAAAGTTACTGTTCTTAAGGTGCTGTTTCCCGATACTTGGCTCTTCACATACCCGCAGGGTTCATAGCGGGGCTGTTTACTGGGGACCACTCCAACGTTGATTTGATTTGGTTTCCAAGAATTATCTAGTGGCATTGGCCTTGTAAAAAAGTTCTTTGCTATTCATGGAGAGGTCTACTTGAAATGACACCACGGCGAAAATAAAGGTAAGACATGACGTTCCTCCACTTGCGTGATCTAGTCTGCTAAACCAAGCCATCCGGTGATTTTCATGAGGGCGGTTTTGTTCATTACACTCCAGACCACCCAAAACCATGGCAGTTTCGTGGCCTCTGTTCCTCACTGACAACTGATTATGTCCAAAATCTAAATAAAACAGTCCATGTGCAAAAAAGCTCCTAAACAAAAACACAACATTAATTACTAATGAGCACATGTTATGTCAAGTCCAGGTTTTGTGGGATATTTGTAATTAACTGCTCTGTTCTCCAGTCTGAAAATGTCACTAGAAGGCACTGTTCATTGCAGAGACAAGAATATTCTATTTTCATTTGATATTCAATACAGGTCCATTCCACTAATGTTGATACACTTCTATATTGCGTTAACACACTTTTGCATTTCTCTGACTTCGTACAGTTTTGCCAAGCCTGATTTTTAAAGGTCAACTTTGAGTGACCATATCTCAGGCATCATTTAACATAGATGAAATATTGATAGGTCAGATTATGCAGAATTTATTCAGCTTTAACTTGGTATGCTGCATGAGTAGGCAGTGCAACGCGTTAACATGATGATTGGGTGATTACTTTTTCTAGTTTCTTTTGGACGGCACTATAATAATAGGATTATATCATACATCTAATACTTTTGATCACGTTTGTTTTGATACACCAAATATCAAGTAGCTTTGGTCATATGTCAGCTTTGAAGATGTTTGTTTTGATATATTGTACATGTAAAAGCTTTGATTATATTATTGTATCGTACATCTAACAGCTTTGGTGACATTTATTTTGATGCATCATACAAAACTCAACATCTTTGATTATATATATCATTCTTCTGACAGCTTCCCTAACATTTCTGTCGCGACGTGGTGGAATCAGGCTCTCATCAATTTTTGGGCATGCAGAGTTTTTGGTTTCACCTAAAAGCTTGTTCATTTCTCTTACTTAAACATAACCATCTATCTTGAATCGAAGTCGTGATATTTACGATTGAAAGGGGGGGTTCCTAGTTTCAGAGGTAAACTTAGCGAGAAAATGGCCACCAACGTTTGGTGACTTCCAAAGTTGTAGAGTCTCTGGAAACTAAATTTTTATTTTTTTTGTGCCAATAATCAGCGTTTCCAGTAAAAATCACACCAAAAATATGCTTTTAATTTTAAATAGATAGGCATGAAAGGTGTTTATCTAAAAAAAAAAAAAATTCAATAAAAATTGCCAAATGAGCGGTAACATTCTGATTTCTTATATTTAATTATTTTAACGAGCTCGTGATTTCACTACGATGCCTCACATACAATACTCAACAGCTTTTGTCTCAGTTTTGTTTTGGTGTAATATCATATTTTTATCAGCTTTGGTCTCTTTTGCTAATGATGGTTAAATATCGTGCAGAGAACATTTGTGTCACGATGAGGTGGATACAGGCCCTCGTCAGATTATGGGAACATGGAGTTATTGGTGTCACCTTAAAGCTTGTCTTGCTTTTGGTGGGAAAAAAAAAAATCCAACTATCTTGCATAGAAGTTGAGATATTTGCAATTGAAGGAAATGGAGTTGCCTGGTTGCAGAGGTAAAATTAGGGAGAAAATGGCGGCCAAAGTTACGTGACTATCAAAGCTTGTGAGTCCTTAAAAACTTGGAATTTATGATTTTCGGGCCTTTAATCGTCTCCCAGTAAAATCCGCCCAGAAAACTGTTTTTTAATGGACATAGAACGTGTTGAGCTAAAACACAAGAAATCTACAAAAATTGCCAAACCAACGGAAAAATGCCAGTTTCCTTAATTTTATTATTTTGATGGGCGCCTGATTTCACCACGATGCCTCACACATCATAATACTCAACAGCTTTTGTCTAATTTTTGTTTTGCTGTAATATGTTTCATCTAACAGTTTTGGTCTCATTTGTTTTTATATAGGAGTGTCCGTCAGTGTCTGACAATGATTAATGCTTCTGCAGAGAACATAATCTATTAAAGGAATGGGAGAAATAAAGATTTAAGATGATATGTGGCATCTGCTTATAGCCAATGAGACCAATTCTGGCAGAGCAGAGAAGTGTTTGCCACATTTTCAGCATTTAGAAGCTTCATTTCCACTTGTGGTTGCGTACAGTTTCTAGGCTTCTTTTTTGACTTGAGCATTTCTCATTCGTGACACCACATATGGTTTGCTACCCACTGTGACTGCTGCTGTCCAACTGGGTCTTTCAGGAGCTAGACCCTCCCTTGTCAAGAGATTCATGTTTTTATGTATCATACTTCCAACAGCTTTAGTGTTATTTGTTTTAACATATCTTGTCTCAATAACATTTATTTTATTACCTCATGTACTTGCTTTGGTTTAGTATCAGGGATGGGTCTGTGACTTCGATAACATTTGAAGAGTTCAGTGGAAATATTCGAAGTGTCCATAATACTTATTGTTGATTGTTAATCTTTTTCACTCTCATCAACTCAGATTTCTGTAGTAGACTGAACATCTGAACATCGTCGATATTTGACTCTAATTTATGTATCTGATAATTTAGGTCAAACACTTTTTTGTGAGGAATATGTACTTTTTCTTATTATCTTTCGGATTGCTGAAATGTTCTTGATGTTGAGTATTTATTTTACTTATTGTAGTGACATCAATTGTAATTACGGTTGATAATAATATAAATTGAGACAATGAAAGTATTTGTCCTGATTTGGCGAGTACATAATTAAGTCGGACACCAGTGACATTTTTCTTTGCAATTGAAAAGAAGTTAAAGGGGTTGTTTTTACTTTTTTCAGGGTTTTTTTTTTTTTCTCGCTTTTTGAATCTTCTATTATGTTGGCTGGAACAAAATGTGTATAGTAGAATAGATATTTAGTATAACATGTTTTACAATCCTTTTCGGCCAATTGATGAAGTTAAGAACTGTTCAGTGACTTTGTGTTGTAGGTGGCTGGAGGACACTTCTGGTTGGTTCATTTTTCTTTTCTTTGCCTCAGATCTATTACGTCTGTCTGTCTCTGTTATCTCACTCTTTCCCTGCACACATAATGATAATTTTTTTATTGCCCCCCCTCCCCCCTTTTTTTTAGGAGGGTGGCCGAAGGGTGCCTCTGGCATGTTCTGCTTTTCTTTCCCTTTGCAGTTCCAATCACTCTTGTCTTCAAATTCTTTCCGTGCACTAAATGACCATTATTGTGGCGATATGCTTCTCTTTTTTAAAACGAGGTACTTTTACGCCCTTGTCAACTCAATTTAGATCATTTAGCATATGGGCTCAACCCTGCCCGTCAGGGCCAACCCAAGCCAAGAGGGACAAAATGAAAGACGGAAATACTCAATAAAAATACTCACTACTCCTCGGGAATCAAACTCAGGTCTCCTGGAAAGGGTTTGTTCACGGCCTAAACCCTGACTCAGAGTGAGAAAGGCTGTGATGATGATGAATTGTGTGACATGTATCATCATCATCGTCAAGTGCCGAATTTGTGACTGACATTGGACTTCAGCGATCATGGTTCTCCTTTCATTCCTTTGCTCGAATGCTCTCAAAAAAGCTACATTGTCCTAATCTTTCCCCATCACCCTTTTGTTAAGGCTCTCCAAGTAGGTTGCTTCATTTGCCTCAGTTTTGTCAATGAAATGTAATTATAATAATAATAATAATAATAATAATAATAATAATAATATGCTTGTTTGTCAATTTCTGACGATGACCAATACTTCCTCAGAGGAGAATATTTCTCAACCAAAAAAGAAGAGTTCGAATAATCGAAGGTTAAAATGACTCGTGGCTTCTTGCTGAGGCCGATGAGACCAGTTCTGGCGGATAAAAGCTTGCCACGGAGATGGTTGGCGGGTGCTCTGGTGTGGTTTGCTTCTTCTTTCCTGTCAAATATCTGTCGGCCTTATCTCTCCTCCTTCTTTTTTGTGTTTGTTACTCTCTTGTGACACCTCTAATCTTCAGCACTTATGGCGACCTTATTGTGTTGCAAGTGCCGTATAACACTCACTAAAACAAACAAAGTTTGCCACATTTTGAACATATGGAAGTTCCACCATACATGAAATGTATAGAATGATTTATTACAATCTTTCCTTTCTTTTTTCTCTCTTCAACCACGTTGTTCCAGCCGGAGGACCAAAGTGCAATTAACAGAGCAATGGATTCTGTCAAGAAACTCTCTGTGAGTAAAACAGTGGCGAGATATACCCACCCACCCCCCTTCTTCTCTCTCTCTCTCTCTCTGTCTCTCTCTGTCTCTCTCTCTCTCTCTCTCTCTGTCTCTCTCTCTCTTTCTCTCTCTCTCTCTCTCTCTCTGTATCTCTATCTATCTATCTCTCTCTCTCTCTCTCTCTCTCTCTCTCTCTCTCTCTCTCTCTCTCTCTGTCTCTCTCTCTCTCTCTCTTGAGTACAGCCTTCCAGCTAGTATACGAAGATATTCTGTTGAGAAAAAGAAAACTGGTGGATTTCTGAAGGACAGAAATGGAACAATTTTTTTTTTCCTTTGATTATTACATGTATTTGAGAGCTGTTCCAAGTGCTGGGTTCTACTTTACTTTTCTTTTCTTCTGATGTGTCAGTCTGCCTGTTGCGGGTTGTTTTTTTTTCGTTTTTTTTCCAACAGTAAATGATTATTGTCAATGTGCTTCTCTTTACTCAAACAAACAAAAGAACCTTGGAGCTGGTGGGTGCTCTGGTGTAGTTTGCTCCATCTTTCCTAACAAACAATTTACACCTTTATCTGTCTTTCTTTTCTTTGTATTTTACTCTCTATTAACGAATGCACATGACCTATCTGCATTGCAAGTGCTGTAAAACTTTTACTTAAACTTAAAAAAACAAAAAAACAGACAAATTGACCTGTGTGTATTTATCTAGCAGCAGTAAATGTTTGTTATTGTGTCGATGTGCTTCTCTTCACTCAAACAAACATACAAGTAAAGGGACTGGTGTTTGGGGTATTTTTTTATTCAGCAGTACATGATTGTTAGTTTAGTTTTAGTAAGAGTTATACGGCTCTTGCAACACAGTAAGGTCATAAAAGTGCCGAAGATTAGAGGTGTTACAAGAGAGTAACATACGCAAAAAAGAAGGAGGAGAGGTGAGGACGATAGATGTATGATAGAAAAGAAGGAGCAAACCACACCAGAGCACCCGCCAACCACCCACCATGATTGTTAATGTGTTGAGGTGCTTCTTATTACTCAAAGAACCAGAGTGATCGGTATGTGGGTTTTTGGGTTGTTTTTTTTACGGCAGTAGTGATTGTCAGTGTGTGTGGTTATGTGCTTCTCTTTATTCAAACAAACAGACCCCCCGGGGCAGTGCCACTGACTGTAGTGTCTTTAGGCCATTCTCAAAGGGGGGACATTTCTCGTTCAAGCATAGTAGAATTGTAAATGCGCTGACTCATGTCACGCTCATAACTGTGCCTGATCTACAACAGGGAACTGCTGCTTTTTCTTTCCTGATCCTTACTAATGTCATTTTCCTCTACTTCTTTTGTACGTTTGTCACTCTCTTGTGACCCGCTATTTGCTATTTCCGGGGTGCCTTGATAGTCAAAGCAGACCTTGTGCTGTTGAAGCTAGAGAGGTGAGCAGTCTAAGTCTGATTCCCTGTAAAGACTTCTCTGTTGACACCCACCCCTTGGCGCTCATATGACCTTCTGCAGTTGCGAGCGCCGTAAAACCCTCTACTATTAAAAAAAACAGCAAAAAAAAACAAACAGACAACATGGAGAGTGCTTTTTTTTTTCCAGCAGCAGTAAATGTTTGTCATTGTGTTGATGTGCCTCTCTTCACTCAAACAAACAAAATGGCCTGTGTTTTGTTGGGTTTTTTCCACAGCAGTAAATGATTGTCATTTTGTTAATATGCTGCTTTGTATTCAAACTACCATACGATGTGAGTGGGTGGTTGACGGTTTCTCTGGTGTGGTTTGCTTCTTCTTTCCTATCAAACATCTATCATCCTTATCTCTGCTCCTTTTTTTTGTGTTTGTTACTCTCTTGTAATACCTCTAATCTTCTTCACTTATATGACCTTATTGTGTTGCCAGTGCCGTAAAACACTTAATTAAACTAAAACGAAGTGACTGGTGTGTTTTTCCTAACAGGGGAAAGGTGGACAGAAGCCGGACCAAAGCATTATGGAGAACGACGCCTTTGAGGGGATTGGTGATGACGACTTGTGAGATGGATGTTTTCGTTAAGACGCCATGAGATGAGTGATTTCCTTATGACACCGTTGTGTCTGTGTGATGAGGTCACCAGTCTAAGGGGGACGACTGTGTGTTTTGTGATGACAGTGTCATCAGTCTAAGGGGGGCAACTGTGTTGTAAGTTCTGTTGTAATGGTCAATGGAAATGCGTGTGTATGGAGATTATTGCTCTGAGTGTGTACGTAAGTAGGGTACTGTATGTATGTGTGTATGTACGTAAGCCACTGTTTGGGTGTATGTACGTAAGTTACAGCAGGTGTGCATATGTGTGTGTGTGTGTGTGTATGAACAACTACACTCGGTGTTGAAATTATTCTTTTGTTTTCCTTGGATGAGTTTTGTTTTAATGTTTATTGTGTTGTGAGGTGCCTTAGTTTTGTTTGGATGGTATTTGTGTGGTCTGAGGATGCTTTTTGTCTTGTCTGGAGGATGGATGTGATGTGTGGTGTGAGATTGGTTTATGTTTGGATTTAGAGTGTCGTGTGGTGTGAAGAGCCTTTTTGTTTTGTTTTTATGTCATGTGTGGTTTGAGGTTGTCATTTTTTTTTTTATTATTACTTTTTTTTTTTTTTATGTGATGTGTGGTTTGAGGATGGTTTTTGCCTCGATGTGTTTGGAGAAATTCTTGTGAGTCTTTTGGATTTGGTCTTTCACATTAAGTACAGCGATAAGGACGGTCGAAATGTCCTGAACTGTTTCCAGATTGTTGTCAGATTTGAGCAATTTCTCCTTCAGTACATCAAGCTGTGCGCATACTTGCTCTCTGATACTTGAGAAAAGGATACAGATAAATGCATTTATGTATGGAGTTGTCTTTCTTGTATCTTGTGGTAAAATATACGTGAATTTTCTGCTCTATATAAGTAGTGATGTCTCGTTATCTTCATTTTTATTTGTAACACTGTTACATTTTCTGCATGAATATGTAGCATTCTTACTTTATCTGCATTACTGATGTGACATTGTCTGCTTTATCGTGTAACATTGTTACATTTTCTGCATTATTAAGTAACCTTGCTACATTATCTGCATCACACTGTTACATTATCCACATTGTTATATGTAACATTTATGACATTGTTACATTACCTGCATTATTATATGTAACATTGTTACTTTATCCGTATTATTATATGTAACTTTTATATGTTATCTGCATTCTTTGTGTAATAATAATATTGCAAAGTTTTTCAAGGGCGTGTTAAAATTTGTTGTTGACATAATGTAATCAAAATGTGTGCGGAAATGCCTAAGCGTATAAAAAGCCAAACTAATATATATGACTAAGACTTTTTCCCATTGTCATGTCTTTACTGTACAAAGTTATGATGATTTTTTAAAAAATATCTGCCGCAAAACTTGATAAAAAAAAGAACTGGGGAAATCAGACTCGCAAAAGTTTCTTAAGCTCTTCTTTCTATAATCCCCCACCCCCTCCTACCTCTGGAAAGAAAAGATATATTTCACACTTCCTTTTCTCTATGCCCTACTACCTCAAACATATATTTTGTACATCCTTCTCTCTATTCCCTTTTACCCGAAACAGATATTTCATACATCCTTCTCTCCTGTCCCTCTTACCCTAAACAAATATTTCATACACCTCTCTTTCTGTTTCCTGTTACTTCAAACAAATATTTCATACATCCTTCTTTCTTGTCCCTCTTACCCTAAACAAATATTTCATACACCTCTCTTTCTGTTTCCTGTTACTTCAAACAAATATTTCATACATCCTTCTTTCTTGTCCCTCTTACCCTAAACAAATATTTCATACACTTCTCTTTCTGTTTCCTGTTATTTGAAACAAATATTTCATACATCCTTCTTTCTTGTCCTGTTACTTCAAACAAATATTTCATACACCTCTCTTTCTGTTTCCTGTTATTTGAAACAAATATTTCATACATCCTTCTTTCTTGTCCCTCTTACCCTAAACAAATATTTCATACACTTCTCTTTCTGTTTCCTGTTACTTCAAACAAAAATTTCATACATCCTTCTTTCTTGTCCCTCTTACCCTAAACAAATATTTCATACACTTCTCTTTCTGTTTCCTGTTATTTCAAACAAATATTTCATACATCCTTCTTTCTTGTCCCTCTTACCCTAAACAAATATTTCATACACCTCTCTTTCTGTTTCCTGTTACTTCAAACAAATATTTCATACATCCTTCTTTCTTTTCCCTCTTACCCTAAACAAATATTTCATACATCCTTCTTTCTTTTCCCTCTTACCCTAAACAAATATTTCATACATCCTTCTTTCTTGTCCCTCTTACCCTAAACAAATATTTCATACACCTCTCTTTCTGTTTCCTGTTACTTCAAACAAATATTTCATACATCCTTCTTTCTGTTTCCTGTTACTTCAAACAAATATTTCATACATCCTTCTTTCTTTTCCTTGTTACCCCATACTTTGTTCTTTTACTTTGATGATTCACATATACTCAGACTGGGCAGTGAGAAAAGTGAATATTTTCACCATACGGATGGCCGTCTGGTTTCCGATGAATGAAAAAAACCCAAGAAAACACAAAAACAGGTTGTGTGGATGGGTGGGGGTTTCTCTCCGGACTTTTCTGGTGTCATTGTACCTACAAATAAAAATGTACCTGTTTGTGGGAGGTTTTTTTACGTAGTTATTTGTATTTTGACTTCATGTGTTTGGTCCAAGAATCTTGCCAGCATTTTTCCAGAAACTTCCAGTCAGTTTTCATGACTGCCTTTATTGTTGTGGTCTTTGGTGTGTGTGATTTGCTGTTGCCTTGGGGCTAACTGTGGGGGGGTGCGAGGAATATTTGTCACGCACGGTGGAATCAGGTGCTGCTCAATTTTTAGGCTTGTGGAGTTATTGATCATATCTAAAAGCTTGTTCATATGTCTTGCTTTCGATAAAAACAGTACCCATCTATTTTGAATAGAAGTTGAGATACTTTTGCCATTGAATTGAATGAGATGGAGTTCACCTGGTTTCAGAAGTAAATTATGCCAAAAAAATGGAATCCATTCCCATTTAGGGAGAATTTTATTGGAGTATCTCGGTTTTTCTTCTGAGATGTTGTATCCTTCTCAGCCAGTGTTCACTCTGACAGTCATGTTTGAAGCCTGTCTCCTAACTGACCTAAATTGTGTCGATGGGGGGGGCATAAAAACACCACTTACATTCTTTAAGAAAATAAAGATCGTCTCAATTTTCTTTTTTCTTTCCTGTGGTTTATGTCTGTCGATTCCATTCTTTCCCAACACAGAATGATCATTATTGTGTTGATGTGCTTTTCTTTTCTTAAGGTAACAAACAGTATTAATTTCCTTTCCCAAAGAACTCTGCCTTTGAATTGACGTATTCTGTATCTAGAAGGGCACTCCAACTCAATAACAAAATAACAAGAGACCTTGAGTTACCTCTTTATCTCCGAGGGGGTAAACCCACTATTTTGGGCCTTCGTTTGGCACAGAATCTAAAAGTGACTTATATGTCACTACATTGGTCATCAAATCGAAACAAGTGGACCTATTTTGATAATTTTTTTATCCAATGAATGAACTCCCGGTAAAAGAGACTTGTTTTCGGCAGTTTTTGAAAAGTAATTTGAGATCAAAAGTCGTGGTAAAGGAATGTGCCCGAGCTGCTGCCAGTGGCTTGCCGGAGATAAAGAGTTAAAAGTCTGTTACAGAGAGATCTTTAACTCTCTTTCTCCCTTCCTGCAAAGTTTAATTTATTTCCAGTTTTGTCTATAAGTAGTTTTATCTATTTCCAGTTTCATGTGTTTGTAGTTTCATCTCTTTCCCGTTTCATCTATTTCCAGTTTCATCTACTTTCAGTTTTGTCCATTTCCAGTTTCAACCATATCCTGCGTTGATGTTATGAAAAGTAGTTACTCATTGATTGTATCACTAAGATCAGAGCGATATATTCTCATTACATGTATATGTATTGTGAGCGTTATTGTTTGTCTAAGACTTGTGGTTGATTTTATGCTCGAACCTTGTTATAGAACTATTTTTTTTAAAAAAGATTAGCTCTTTTTTGGTACTAAAACAATTGACGAGGTAAATCTGCGTGCTCTCCACAATAAGCATCAGGAATCAACACGCACACTGAATAGTACATAAATGGTAGCTAACTTCTCATCATATAAACATTTTAATGGGAAGTGGTTTTATTTTTTTGCATGTTGAAAAATGTTCAAGAAGCTATTTACATGTGGATGGGTGGCGAGTGCTCCGGTGTTGTTTGCACCCTCTTTCCAATAAAATATCCATCATCCTTATAATCTCTCTTCATTCCTTTGTTTATTAACGCCTCTAGTCTTTGGCACTGATATGACCTGATTGTGTTGCAAGGGCTGTAAAACAGTGTAACACCATCATGTTATATATATATATATAGGTTAGAGCAATACATCATTAATAATATATAATATATATGCACAGTTTGAGCATAACTTCACTGATGTATTTTGTACAACACCTCACCTCTCAAAATGGGAAATCATGATACATGCTATTGTTTTAATGACCTTGACGATATTTTCATGCTTACTTACTGTAATGTCACTGCCTTTTTTTTTAGATGTTGGTATTCAGTATTCTCGGGAAATCGTTCTCGTTCCTTGTGAGGCCTCTATTGTAGTTGCTGTTGCTCTGTGATAACTAACTAATATGCTGCGTTGATAATCAAAAGACGGATGTTACAGTCGAAATTATCTAAAACGGCCACCCCATTGTCGAGCGTAAAGGTAGTTGTCTAAGACAGATAGATGTTTTGAACAGTTTCGTTACAATACAGAAAAAAACTCAAGAGTGATAATGGGAAGTGATTGTTTGTGCAGATGATTATCTTGGATAGGTGGACATTGGAGCAGATTCTACTGTTCTTTAATTATTAACGCTGGACTGGTATCTGTGGTGTAGTGGCTAGGCTCTTCACCATGACATGTTGGAAGACTTGAGTTTGGTACCCGCATGGAGTAGTGTTAAAAAATTCTATTCAAGTACCTCTCTCTGTATGCTGGGATATTATTGTATCCTTTTCAGTCTGCAATGGCCCTGACAGGAACGGCCGATCCACTTCACCTCCAGTAACTACAATATTGTGTGGATGAGGATGTAGAACTAACATATTTTTTAAAAGCATGATTTTTTTTTTCTAAAAGGGAAAAGTAACTAGTGTGACTTCCCGTCAGTGGAAGAGCTATTGTGAAAGATGCTAGTGCTGCGAGGACTGTTACTTCTTGAAATCAAACACGCTGTCACAAGTTATTTAAAAAATTTCCATTTGTACCAAAAATTTTGGGAGATTGTTCTCATTTTTCTATTGATGCCTTTTGCAATTATGGTTTTTCTTTAGTAAGTTATTGTCATGTTAGAAATACCCCTCTCCCC